CCAGAGCGCAGAAGGAAGGCCTTCCCACATGTCTGACATTGATGAGGTTTCTCTAGACCATGAATTCCCCTGTGCTTAGCAAGGTACCATGACTGAGTAAAAGCTTCTCCACATTCCTTACAAACATAAGGTTCCTTTCCACTGTGAATTCTTGTATGAGTAGCAAGGCTTGCAGAATAAACAAAAGACTTTCCACATTCCTTACATATATAAGGCTTCTCTCCAGTATGAATTTTCCTGTGCTTAGAAAGGTCCCCTGAATGAGAGTTGGCCTTCCCACATTCCTGACATTTAGGAGGTTTCTCTTTACTATGAATATTCCTGTGCGTAGTAAGTTGCCCAGATTCAGAAAAGGCCTCCCCACATTCCTTACATATGTAAGGTTTCTCTACAGTGTGACTTTTCCTGTGCCTGGAAAGGTTCCCTAAATGAGAGTAGGCCTTCCCACATTTCTGACATTTATGAGGTTTCTCTTCACTATGAATTTTCCTGTGCTTAGTAAGTTGCCCAGATTCAGAAAAGGCCTTCCCACATTCCTTACAGACATAAGGTTTCTCTCCATTGTGAATTCTCCTATGTCTAATAAGGTATAAGGATCGATGGAAGGCCTTCCCACATTCTTCACATGAATGTAGTTTGTCTCCTGCTTTTATATAATTATGGTCAGGACAGGGTAACTTTTGACTCAACTTTTGTCCACGCGGCTGACATTCCTGGAATTTCTGTCCACTGAGGATTTCTAAAGGAATACCATGGTGCTGAGAACATGGGAAGGCTCCCCCACAATTCTTACACTTGGACAGGTTCAGTACATCATTAATTTGCTTGTGGGCCTGTCGGCCTGAAGGACTCACTATAAACAGTGCTCCTCTCCCACAGTCCATGGGCTGAGCAACTGGGGGGGTTTGTGCTTGAGGCCTGTGCAGAACATACTGTGAGGAGCTTCTCCCAGGGAAGGGCTTTTTTGGAGCGAGGTCGCTCTCTTCCTTCCAATCACCCTCAGAGGACATCCTGCCTGTCTCAGCATCCCCAAGGGGATGAAGACAGGATTGCTCACTCGAGAATTTGTCACAGTGCACAGGATCAGAGGCATTCCACTGGGACTGGCTGCTTCCCTGCAGAAAAGCAGAGAAGGATTCCAATTATTGCTCTATTCCATCAAATCTCCATGTCTAAAACAATTCAGCCAGGCAGTGTCATATCCTGATTCACCGTCCCGTGGTGTCCTGTGGCCCCTTGGTATGTTCTGGGCCAATGAGTGCCCATTAACCCACATTTAGAGGAATAAATGGGGCCATGGCTGGTTGGTAATTCAGGGGTCGTTTATTCCTATCATAGCGTTAATTAGAGAAATCATGAAGGTTTACTGGGCAGCAATTATACATGTGTTGGAACATTACCATAAACAATGCACACAGGTAAAGAAACTTTAGGGGAAGTTCCTCTAGGACATGCACCCAAGGGCAGAATAATATCTGAGGACTCCAGCACTCTACAATCCACTCTAGATTCCTCCTCAGAGATCTGCCCAAGGGTGGCATTCCATCCAAGGGTGTATTGCTCTCTCCTTTCCTTTGCTAGTAATCCATTTAAACTGTCACTGTCACTGTCCCCCCCCCCCCCCCCCATTGTTCATCGATTTGCTCAAGCGGGCCGAGTAACGTCTCCATTGTGACACTTGTTACTGTGTTTGGCATATCGAATACATCATTGGGAGCTTGCCAGGCTTTGCCATGCAGGTGAGATACTCTCGGTGGCTTGCCAGGCTCTCTGAGAGGGACGGAGGAACTGAACCTGGGTTGGCCATGTTGACTGCGTGCAAGGCAAATGCCCTACCCGCTGTGCTATCACTCCAACCCACCCATTTAAACAAATGTATTAAATTTACTTTTTTAAATAACATTTCTAGTTATTTTGCATGTACCCAGTAAGTGATTTAGGCTTTTATCTATACCCTAGATCAAGCTAAAAGGGTGGCTTTTCCTGGGCACATCTCGCTATATTTCACACTTTACATTTCTCACGCCAGGTTAGTTTTTCCTAATACCAACAGGCTCCTTATTCAGTTACTTCTTTTTGGGTCAAGTAAGAGTTTGTTCCATGACCGTGCTCTTGATTTATTATACTACTTACGGTGTTTAGGTTGTCCCTTTCTGAAACCAGGTAGCTTAATGCTTGCTTGGGTCCATCCAAGTCCCTTGCTGTCACCCGCCTTTTGGGGCATTAGGAACAAAGTACAATGGAGGCTTAAGTCAAGCACATATGATGGATACCCAGGAGGAAATATTTTATCGGGGCCAATTAATTCCCATGTGAAAAAAGCATGACGGAATTGGGAGTGCCTGGGGAGCACTGTGTGTGTGTGGAATTCAATGAACCTAAGCTCCCTGTATGGGAGAAAAAACAAACAAATATGAAACCTCAGAAGCTTAAAACAATACTCCAACACGGCAGCTGTGTTTTCTGATATTTGAAACACACGAATCCAACTCCGAATATGTGCAGAAGGTTTCCATGAAATGATCTACTGTTTCTTCAAGGCCGACTTGCAAAATTGACCAGTGCGGGGTCGTAAGTTGAGTGAATGTTTTCATCTCAATGAACAGAGAAATTAAGTGGAATTAACACTCTCTGTATAAAACCTAAGCGCCAGTTTCCAATGAAGATACAAGGGGCCCAAAACTGGGTTCGGTTCTAGCTCAGTGTGAAGCCTGGGATGCATGTTTGAAGGCAACGCTGCCTCCATACAGCCAAGATGCAGGACAGGGGCCACAAGATGATTCTTCTTTTGTAGCAATGGCTTTTTTGTTCTTTTAGTTTTGTTTGTATTTATTTTGCAGTGGGGCACACCAAGCAGATCTTAGGGACCAATGCTGCTGGGGCTCTTGGGGACCACACGAGCTGGAAACCCAGATTTCTATCCCTGGGTAAAGCAAGCGTCCTTCCCACTGCATGACAAAGGGGGCGACCAACCAGTTATTTGAAACAATCTGATGTTTGTGCTTACTTTCTATCAAATGACAACCCACAGTACTTCACCAATGTGAAAAATAGAAATTCCTTTAGTTTTTTTTTTTTTTTTTTTGCTTTTTGGGTCACACCCAGCAATGCTCAGGGGTTACTCCTGGCTCATGCACACAGGAATCACTCCTGGAGGTGCTCGGGGGACCATATGAGATGCTGGGAATCGAACCTGTGTCAGCCATGTTGGCTGCGTGCAAGGCAAACGCCCTACCCGCTGTGCTATCGCTCCAGCCCCAAAATTCCTTTAGTTTTTGAACTTACTGATTTTATCCCCAGTGGGGCTACAGCCCCTTTCCTCTCAGAATTAGGCTCTGAGTTCCTCCCTGTCAGATCCAGAGACTGTAAACATGGTGGAGGATGGACCTGAACCCCCCACCTTTCTAATCCTATGCTTGGTCCACTGAGCTATCCAGCCAGAGTAAAAATACTTATTTTGAATGTGTGAATCTTACCAGCTCACTCGTATTCGATGATCCCTTTCCCAAATCAAACTGTGGCCGTGCAACATCCTGACGCTGTGAGTGGAGTTCTGAAATCAAACACAACCCACAAGGTAAGTATTAGTCGAATGCAAAGTCGCTTAATAGGCAGCACACGTGGAAGATCTATTTAGAGGCTCGCCATGAGGAGCTTGGCAATCACACACTAGCTTTTTTGGGTTTTATTTGTAGACCAGACCCAGGAAGGCTAGGGAACCATACGAGATTCTCGTCATTGAAACCAGGGCAGCTGAGCACAGGACAAGTGCCCTCCCCACTGTCCTACAGGGCTGGTCCTGTCTAGCTTTGTTATGGGCTCAACGATTCACAATTTGAACGTAAAGACAAAAACTTTTCTTAGTGGGCTGGAGAGAGAAAAGCAGGTCTCGCATTTGCCTTTATTGAGGCTGATCCCTGAGCACTGCCAAAAGTAACCCAAGGGGCTGGAGCGATGTTACAGTGGGTAGTGCATTTGTCTTGCACGCGGCTGACCCTGGTTCGATCTGGAGCATTCCATATAGTGTTCTGAGCACTGCCAGGGGTAATTCCTAAGTGCAGAGCCAAGAGTAACCCCTGTGCATCGCCTGGTATCACCCAAAAAAGGGAAAGAAAAAAAGGGAACCTGAGAAATGCCAGGAAAAGCCCTGAGTATCACTGAGCCCAAAAACAAAAACAGGTCGGGGCTGGAGCAATAGCACAGCAGGTAGGGCATTTGCCTTGCACGCAGCCAACATGACCTACACAGGTTCGATTCCCAGCATCCCATATGGTCCCCTGAGCACCGCCAGGAGCAATTCCTGAGTGCATGAGCCAGGAGTAACCCCTGAGCATTGCTGGGTGTGACCCAAAAAGAAAAAAAAGAACAGGTAAAAAATTCTTACTATATTTGACAACCAGTGTAATGATCTGAGAGCAGATAGGCAGGACAGAGAAGACAAAGAACAACCCAGCTGCTCCTGGAAAGGGCACCCGAGGCTGTACAATGGAGGCTGCCTAGCCAGGCTGGTGAGGCACAGACGGGGGGGGGGGGATCAAAAGGAATATGAATCCCGTGGACTATTCTACATACATGAAAGATGAGGAAAAGCTACAGAGGCAGAAACCAAAGCGCATGGTCATTCTGCGATTTAAAATCCAAGGGAAGGGGCTGGAGAGATAGCACAGCGGGTAGGGCGTTTGCCTTACATGCGGCCGACCCAGGTTCGATTCCCAGCATCCCATATGGTCCCCTGAGCACCGCCAGGAATAACTCCTGAGCGCAGAGCCAGGAGTAACCCCTGTGCATTGCTGGGTGTGACCCAAAAAGCAATAAATAAATAAATAAAATCCAAGGGGAGAAAGAGCAATGTGAGCGTAGCACAGACACCTGGATCCAGGAGCCCGAACCCCTGGACAGAGTCACTTGTTTGACACACGCTCAGGACACCCACACACTGCCAAACAGCCAAGCCAGGGAGGGTTGTCAGACACCCATCTGCACACACACATCTCCTCCTTGGCCTCAGGGTTCCTCCTTCCAGCCAGGAGATCACCACAGGCTTCACCTTCAAATGCCCTGCTCCCAGAGACATGGATCAGTGACCAGGAAAAGGCAACAGGTTAATTTCATGTGTCCATTTAGGCAAATTTCTCAAAAGGCATGAAACAGTATCTCCACTTCCGATATGTTGCAGATTGCTGGTTATCAGTGACATAGAACCCAGGTTTCCATTTAACAGTGAAGTAGGAGAGACCAGAAAATACCGCAAACAGTATAGCCCTGGTCTCACACATAGGTGACATGCGTTAGATCCCAACACTGTATTTAACTTTGTCAGAGCCACAACAGAGATGATCAGGGGTCACTCCTGACTCTCTACTCAAGAATCACCAGGGAAGTGCTTGGCGACCATGTGGGATGCTGGGGATTGAACCTGCCTCAACTTCCTGCAATACAATTGTCCCCACTCTGTAGTTATTTCTCTGTTCTGGCACCATATGGAGTTTCCTGAGTCACTCTAAAAGTGATCACTGAGTGCAGCAAACCCAAGAGCAAAAGAACCCCCAAAATAGACAAGAGATGGCAGGACCCTCCATTTTTAAAAAACGTTAAAAAAAATCAACAGATCTGGACAGAGCCCATCAGGTGGATATTTGCCTTGGTCAAGGTCAATGCCACTTGGATCATTAACATTCTATACAGTCCCTTGAGGCAGCCAGGAGTGATACCTGAGTACTGAGTCCAGGAGCAAACCCTGAGACATGCTGAAGTATCATTATCCCAAGAAATTCTGCAAGTGACCCCAAACACTGAAATATAATAAGACCTGATGGCTGAAGCTCTAAGAAATAAACAAACTTGTGTTGGGGAAGATATTACAGTGGGTAGGACACCCCTGCTGTGCACAAATACGGGTTTAATTCCCCTGCAACCCATAACGCTACCGGAGCACAACCAGAAGTAATCCCTGAGCATTCTCAGTGAAACCCCCAAACCAAGTCAAAATAAAACAAAATTCTTGAACTTGAAGAATTGGTGCAATTGTACTGGAGGTAACGCTCTGACCTTTGAAGCTGGCAACTGGGTCCAAGCCTCAGCAGCCCCAGGGTCCCTGAGCACCCCGAGAAATGATCATTTAACACATAGCCAGGTAGAATGTGTACTTAGCTCCAAGCCAAATCAAAACAAACACAGTGAAGCTGTGTGTAATACAAGAAGCAAATTGATTTAGCACTGGAAGGAACTACTCAGATCACGGCCCCTGTTGAACACACAGACCCAGCCACACCCCAGAAGTGTAAGGAGGTCTGTGTCAGCAGGGTTCGCTCCACACAGCTCTTACCAACAGCCCGCAGGTGCTGGTAGGTCTCCAGCATCACTTCCCTGTAGAGCTTTCGCTGAGAGACATCCAGGCATGTCCACTCTTCCTGGGTGAAGTTCACGGCCACATCGGATAAGGTCACTACATCCTGAGCAGACAGACACAGGGGACGGGAGACAGTGCCAGTCACCACTCTTTTTTCAGCCATGAGGACAGCACTAGAGGGGCTCAAGACATCTCCCCTCTCCCTTCAGGAGGAACCAGTGTCCGTGCACATTCCTGGCTCACTGGCCCAAGAAATCACTCTAAGGTAGCCAGGTCTGCAGCAATGTGAAGGTGCCACTCTCGAAGGTTCCTGGAGGTGATGGCCTTACACAGACACCCCCATAGCCAAACCCAGCACCAATGGTCCAGTGAGCACTGCAGAGAGTAAGACCTGAGCACATGCCCAGCAGGACTGAAAAGTAGCAACCCTGGGGGGGCTGGGGGGAGCGGAGCGATAGTACAGTGGTTATGGCATTTGCCTTGCATGGAGCCGACCTGGGTTCAATCCTCGGCATCCCATATGGTCCCCCAAGCACCGCCAGGAGTGATTCCTGAGTGCAGGGCCAGGAGTAACCCCCCTGAGCATCACTGGTGTGAACCGAAAAGCAAAAAATAAAAAGAACAACACTAGGTTGGACCAAAATACTACACAAGCCCTCCCCATATTCCTGTTCTAGGGATGACAAGGGGATACTTAATGTCCAGTCAGAAAGTCAAAGCTGTGGGTGGACATATGTGCCGGCAGGACTCTGAACTCACGGTTCAGGGCTGGGTCAAATCTCTCTAGAAGGAGGTAAAAGTTACTTGACCCACAATAACTAAGCTGGCCCCAGAGAACTTCTTATCACTCTCCTTGGGAACGGAGCATGCCCGGAATGAAACACACAGCAGCGTTGGAACCTGAGACTTTGGCGGAGGGAGCAGGTGAGGCTCTCCAGAGTGGGAAGGATAAAATGAGGGAATCGCAAGTTATGGGATCTGCAGTCATTACTGGGGCCAGCATACCCTGAGGCCCGTGATGCCCATCGGGTGTGAAGCCCAAGCTCTTTCTCTTAGAAGCCCTGAGCACTTCCACTGTGGCAAGAAAAAAAAATATGAAAAGAAACAAAGCAGAAGGTTGGAGTAACAGTACAGTGGGTATGTGGCGATAACTGTGTCCCATATGGTCCCAAACACTGCAGGTGCAATACCAGAGTGGATAACTCCAAGAATCACAAGGTGTGGCCCCGACCACTAACCACTCCTCCATCCAACAAAAAAAAAAGCAAAAACCCCAAGAAGTCAGACTGGCCTGTCATCAGTAAGGTCCTGGAGACCTGTCAGGATTGACAATTGACCACTAAACTGGGAGCCCTTCTTGAGAGCCACTAGGTGTTGCCCCAACACCAAACACACACACACACACACACACACACACACACACACACACACACACACCAAAAAAAAAAAAACCAGTCATCTGTTCTTGGGCACTCAGGTTTTTTCCAGATTCTGGCTATTGTAAAGAGTGCTTCAATGAACAAACAAGTGCAGACGTCACTTCGACTATACATTTTTGCCTCTCTGGGATATACTACATGGAAAGTATCACGCTAAGCGAAATGAATCAGAAAGAGAGGGATAGACATAAAAAGACTGCATTCATCTGGGGGACATAAAGTAACAAAATAGGAGATTAATACCCAAGAATAGCCGAGATCTGTACCAGGAGGATTACTCCATGGCTTAGAGGCCAGCCGGGCATTCTGGGGGGAAAGGGCAGCTCAGATAGAGAAGGGAGCACCAAATAAAGGGTGTTTGGAGGATCCTCCCAGGATAGGAGATGCATGTTGAAAGTAGACTATGGACCGAACATGATTGCCACTCAATGCCTCTTTTGCAGACCACAACACCCAAAAGGAGAGAGAGAACAAAAGGGAATGCCCTGCCACAGAGGCAGGGTGGGATAGGGGGGAGGGGGTGAGAGGGATACCGGGATCCATGGTGGTGGAAAATGGGCACTGGTGGAGGGATGGATCATTGTATAATCAAAACCCAAGCACAAAAATTTGTAAGTCTACAACTGTACCTCATGGTGTTTCATTAATAAAAATTAATAAAAAAAATAGACAAAAGTGGCCTCAGCAGAATCAGGCACTCCAACTGGAGCCACATCCCATATCTCTTTCCTGAAACGACGCCCAGACAGTCCACCCTGGAGGCCTGTGTGCTCCTGTCACTGTAGACACTGTCACTGTCACTCCTACCTGGGGACAGAGTGTCAGACGGTGCAACAGCATCTTCTTCAGGTAGTTATTCTTGAGGATCCCCACGGATGCTTTGACAAAGACCTGGAGAAGTCAGAGTTGTGAGCACCAGAGAGAAGCAAAACCCATATGACCCTGACCCATAAGTCCCTGCACTGGATCCAGAAACGGTCTGATCTGACTGGTTTCATGCTTGGGCACCAGCTCACAGAAACACCCAGGGAAGACACTGCCAGATGCTCCTTCCTCCTTAGGGGATGCAGAAGCGCTTGAATCTGGGATGACCATTGCTCTCAGGGAAGGCAAGGCAAGCACTGACCTGTTGTGCTGCCTCTCAGGCCCCTTGGGTCCACTCTAACAGAAAATGTTATAACATCTAAACAGAAATCTAGAGGAACAGATAAAAATTAGTTTCTGGGGCTTGAGTGAAAGCACATCAGATACAGCACTTAGTTTGCACGCAGCTGTCTCTGGTTTGAACCTCACATCCCATAGGGTCCCCCAAGTCCACGAGGAGTGATTCCTGAGCACACAGTCAGGAGTAAGCTAGGAGCACTGCTGGCTGAAACTCAAAAAACAAAACCAATCCAATTTGAAAAGTTCTGTTAGGGGCCAGAGCGATAGCACAGCGGGTAGGGAGTTTGCCTTGCACGCGGACGACCCGGGTTCGATTCCCAGCATCCCATATGGTCCCCTGTGCACCGCCAGGAGTGATTCCTGAGTGCAAAGCCAGGAATAACCCCTGTGCATTGTGGGGTGTGACCCAAAAAGCAAAAAAAATAAAAAGTTCTGTTACTCTGTAGTAACAATGTAAAATAAATGGAAAAAAAAGTTATGTACTCTCATTTGTGGAGTATAAAATAACATAACACAAGACCGTAGATAGAAGGGTCAGGAAGATTGCTCCAAAGTTCGAAGCCTGCCTCACAAGCGGGCGGGGAGAGCAAAGCTGGAATAGAGAAGGGATCACTAAGAAAATGATGGTTGGGGGGCTGGAGTGATAGCACAGCGGGTAGGGCGTTTGCCTTGCACGCAGCCAACATGACCAACACAGGTTCCATTCCCAGCATCCCATATGGTCCCTCGAGCACCGCCAGGAGCAATTCCTGAGTGCATGAGCCAGGAGTAACCCCTGAGCATCGCCGGGTGTGACCCAAAAAGAAAAAAAAATGATGGTTGGAGGAACTGGTCGGAATGGGAGATGTGTGCCGAAAGTAGATAAAGGACCAAACATGATAATTTCTCAGTATCAGCACTGCAAATCATAATGCCCAAAAGCAGAGAGTACAGAGAATATTGTCTGTCATAGAGGCAGTGGGAGGGTGGGAAAGGTGGGGGTATACTGGGGATATTGGTGGTGGAGAATGTGCACTGGTGGAGGGATGGGTGTTTGATCATTGTGTGATTGTAACTCAGACATGAAAGCTTGTAACTGTATCTCACGGTGAATCAATAAAATTTAAAAAAATGTTGAGGGGCCGGAGAGATAGCACAGCGGATAGGGCGTTTGCCTTGCACGCAGCCGACCCGGGTTCAATTCCCAGCATCCCATAGGGTCCGCTGAGCACCGCCAGGAGTAATTCCTGAGTGCAGAGCCAGGAGTAACCCCTGTGCATCGCCAGGTGTAACCCAAAAAAACAAAATAAATAAGTAAATAAATAAATAAAGTTGTGTACTTAGGTGAACCAAGAACATCTAATTTCACAACTTTCTGGACATTAACCAGTATAAAAGCAGGGGGCGCTTGCTTGGCACACGATCAACCCAGGTTCCATTACAATCACCCTACAGGGTCTTCAAGCAGTGCATAGAGGGATCAGCGAGCACAGAGCTTGGAGTACCACCTGAGCATCACCAGGCATGGCATCTAGCCAAAAATAAATCACTATTTTTAAAGGCTGGACCTATAGTCTGCTAGGGTGTTTGCCTTGCAACGGCTGACCTGGGTTCTGTCCCTGGTACCCCTCTAGGTACCAGAAGCAGCAACTACAAGGAATGGCCCAGAATTCAAAATAAAAAAAGGATATTTTATGCTTCAACTCCTCCCGGTCAGTTTTTTTTCTTTGGTCACACCCACCATTGCACAGGGGTTCCTCCTGGCTCATGCACTCAGGAATTACTCCTGGCGTTGCTCGGGGGACCACATGGGATTCTGGGAAAACGCCCTACCCACTATACTATCACTCCAGGCCCTCAGTCAGTTTTACAGGGCACAGGTTTGGAGCCACAAGTGGCAGAACTTTGGGTCTATTCCTGGCGATACTTGAGGACACTGTGTTGTGGCAGAGATTATACTGTGGCAGGCTGCTTGCAAGGCCAGGGCCTGCACTCCTGGCCTCTCTCTGACCCCAGGAATTCTAATTCTATATAAATCCTGTGAACCTTGTGAGAAGGACACAGATAGGCATGAAGGGGGGCAGAAATGAGGCTCAGCTGGTAGAGGCCATCACAGGGCTGCTGACACGGAAGAGTTGCCAAAGTGACACTGAGCTGAAAGCACAGGCTGCAAATCAAAAAGTTTAAATTGCCAGCAGGGGCCAGAAAGAGAGACCAGTGGGCAGGGAACATGCCATGCTTGCAACAGACTCAACTATACACCCTGAATCCCTGAGCACTGCTGGTTTGGCAGACCCCCATCTCCACTCCCAATCACACATCCAGTAAAAACAAAGAGGAAGTTGGGCTGGAGAGATAGCACAGCCAGCGGGTAGGGCGTTTGCCTTGCACGCGGCCGACCCGGGTTCGATTCCCAGCATCCCATACGGTCCCCTGAGCACCGCAAGGAGTGACTCCTGAGTGCAGAGCCAGGAGAAACCCCTGTGCACCTGTGCATCGCCAGGTGTGACCCAAAAAGCAAAAAAAAAAAAAACCCACAAAGAGGAATTTATCTGCCAACAGCAGAGGTGTGAAACCCAGTGATATAGTCTCAAAGTTCAGTTCAGAGGGTTGTTTTTTTTTTAAAATAATGCAGGAGTACTGCTATTTGTAGGGCTGGAGCGATAGCAAAGTGATAGGGTGTTTGCCTTGCACACAGCTGGCTCGGCCGGGCCGGGTTCGATTCCTCCACCCCTCTTGGAGAGCCCGGCAAGCTACCGAGAGTATCTCGCCCGCATGGCAAAGCCTGGGAAGCCACTGGTGACGTATTGGATATGCCAAACACAGTAACAACAAGTCTCACAATAGAGACGTTACTGGGCCTGCTCGAGCAAATCGATGAACAATGGAAGGACAGTGACAGTGTCTGCTATTTGTTCCAGTTCAGAGGTTTGATTTTGTTTTGTGGCCACACTCAGCAGAGCTCTGAGCTTACAGGCCAGGTTTTCAGACTATATGATTTTACTCACTTTTTGGTATGTGACTTTGCATAAGAAAAAGGAGAGGAAAATTACACTTGGTCTAAAAGCTTCATGGCGATAGCACAAAATTTTGCTCAGATCCTCTGACTCCTTTTCCTCCTGACAGACTCTTGTTGAGTATATTTCAGAATGTTTACATCTACAGACTTTGAAGGAAGGTAGGAATGAAAGAGTACACCTGAGTGGAGTGGATGCCGGCCAGCTGGAAGCCCTGGGGCCTTCCCTGGTATCCATTTTTCACTGGTAGCCTGAGCACAGAGCAGTGAGCGGCCCTCAAGCACTGTCTGGTGTGGTCCCAAAATCCCACCCCATATGCTCCCCAAGTAGTGAGATAGACCCAGGGAGAGGACTGAGCAACTGAGCAACCTTTGGGGATACGACATGGCTCCCTGCATCCAGAGACACATGGACAGAGGGGCAGAGTCCCTGACCATCTCAAGTGTGTAGCAAAGAAGGCGAAACCAACCACAACAGAAAACCAACAACAACAAAAACAAAAATAGTCTAGCTAACTCCAACCCGCCAAAAGAAGTTCAAAGAATGCTCAGGTGTCAAGACAAATTCTGTAATACTGGAGTGAGACTTGGGGGGCAGGAGTTGTGTGATTTGAGCCACACATGCTGAGAGCAACCTACAAAATTTGGGGACAGCAAAATGCAAGGCAAGTGCCCTACCTGCACTCCTAACACTCTAGCTATTTATTAATTTTTGATAGTTTTTTTTATTTCTGTGCCACTTCTGGCAAAGTTTAGAGAGGACCCTATGGGGTGTAGGGATCAAACCCAGTTCTGCCAAGTGGAAAACAAATGCTCTGCCTGCTGTACTATGACTCGGGCCTTTTATTTATTTTCCATTTTTTTGTTTTGAGGGACACAGATGGAGATGATGGCTCAGGGGACCCTATAGGCTGGTGGGGATCAAACCCAGGTGAGCCAAGAACAAGACAAATGCCCGCCTAGCTGTACCACTAGAGTGAAACATTTAAAAAAAACCTGTGGCAGCTGGTACCTGGAAACCACATTTCTGCAAGTACTCACCTACACAGCAGGGGGAGCCCCTGGTCTGAGAGAGAAGGACAGTGGGGATGGAATGGTGCTCAAAAACTTGGCAGGGGGCTGGAGCAATAGCACAGCGGGTAGGGCGTTTGCCTTGCACGCGGCCCGACCCGGGTTCGAGTCCCAGCATCCCATATGGTCCCCCAAGCCCTGCCAGGAGTAACCCCTGAGCAGCGCCGGGTGTGACCAAAAAAAAAAAAAGAGCAAAAAACAAACAAACAAACAAAAAAACTTGGCTGGTAAAGGTAAAGGTAAAGGCCCTCCCGTTGATCGTCGATTTGCTCGAGCGGGCCCAGTAACGTCTCCATTGGAGACTTTGTTGTTACTGTGTCTGGCATATCGAATACTCTCGGTAGCTTGCCGGGCTCTCCGAGAGGGGCGGAGGAATCGAACTCGGGTCGGCCATGTTGGCCGCTTGTAAGGCGAACACCCTACCGCTGTGCTATCGCTCCAGCAGGTATTTTTTTTTTTTCTGGGGCAAAATAAAATCATAGAGGGTTAGCAGAGATAGTACAGTTGATAAGGTGCTTCTCATCAAGCAGCTAAGTTGGGTTCAATTTCCAAAATCCCACAGGTTCTCCCCCCAGCACTTCCAGGAACCATGCCTGAGCTCAGACCCAAGAGT